GTGGTACGTGGAAGTGCAAGAACTGTGGCATGCAAACAAATTTTTTCATATAGAGGGCAGCACTGAACGAGAATAACTATATTTGTGAGAAAATGTAGGAACCTATTGGAAATTCACTTTCACCACATGAAAATTATAACTTCCAGAGACTGAAAAAGGCAGTGCAGGCATTTGCATTCATGGGCATGGACATTCAGTATTTAGTCTTGGTTAGGATTTCTACATCTTACCAATACTGTGAAAGATTTCCTCAAAAATTAATTAATTCAGTATTTTTTACTTATTTTTCAATTTACATTAATACTTTATTTCAGTCTTCACAGAAAAATAATTTCTGGCAAAAATTAACCATGGTGCATTATGGAGGAAGATGCTGGATTATCTGTTGCAGAATGTAGGCACAAGGTTTTGGGGCTCTGGTTACAACATGCTAACTAACTCATGGTTGGATGGCTAACCAGTTTACATTTTCTACAGCTTTTGTGCTATATCTTTCTATTGCAAGCATTACTGTGTATTGTATAATAATTTTGTTTTTATGTATTAAATGGTTCTTTCTGGTATGAAGTAGCATAGAATGTAGTGCATTGTCCTTGGAATTTTTCACAGGAACTCATGGAGGTTGCTTTACAATATTTTTTTAATGGGGTAGTAGCATCCTTGATCACTGACAATTTAATCTGTTATGCATTTGATTAAACATTATCATCGTTATTAATATCTCAAGTTATTTCAGTCTTTTAATGATGAATTTTCTTAGTGCTTCCTTTACCAACTTATCCTTTGCATTTCTTGATTTTAAAAGTATTTTCAGTTTGCAGTACAAAAATGGTTGTTAAACTGTCACTGTGACATAATTACTGGATATGTACTGTTATAAGTAAAACTATTTGAAATGTGAATGCTTCTGCAGTTTGCTAACCTTCCCTTTGACTGTTTTGGGTTCACACCTATATTTCACATTGTAACCAAGGTACTACTATACAGCCCAACATCCTTTTTAATACACAAAGATATCTGGGTTTGTGAACAATACTCATTTAAAGCAATTAGAAAAATTCAGAAAGTTCAAGTAACATATGTCAATTCACAAGAATTGAACTACACAACAAATGATTCGTAAACAGTTACTAAGCAGACCTGTGATAAATTATTGCTTCTAAAAATACTAAATTTAACACTCACACTTTATAACTATCTAACTCATAACTCTCATATTAAATTTAAATGAAACAGATGTTTATATCTAACAGAGTTATGCCTTCTGGAAGTGAATAGAGACATTGGAGATATGGTGCCCATTCTACATATGATGCTTCATAGCTCCAACCAGGATGGGGAACACCTTACTATTTTATTTTTAAAATTTTTTAACCTATTTATTGGTTCTAAAGTTGTCATGTCCTTTGTCCAATTCGTATGTCTGCCTGTGTAATTCTCATTATTCGGCCAATCTTTTATAGATATAGATGTAGGGGGGCCTTACTTCAAGTGTTATGCCACCACCTGTCATTATGTCTGAGAATGTACAAGGCTCCACAAGTACATACAGGCCACCCACACCTCCCCCACTTCCTTTATATGTTATTTCAAGGGTATATAAGAGAATAAATGATGAAGTACCCTGCAGAGAATAATGCATTTTTCTGAGTATCCTTATTTAGTCTATTCTCTTATGAGGCTATTCCACTCTTCTCGATTCTCCTGTTAATCCTCTTCATTGTTTTTACTCTGTTTCTAGATTCTACTCAAAGTCTGCTTAACCTGACCCTTTACATTATTGTTGTCTAGGTTGTTATTTCTTGCCTAAGAGCCCAATTTTTGGTGAAACATTCATTGACCCTTATTACTTTTTTGTTCAGTCCCCTCTTCCATCTTAATATCAATATTCTGTTTTTTTTTCCATTTAAAAAGTAAATATGCCTATTTGGAATTTAGAATTTTTAGAATTAAAATGAATTTTAAACAAATATTTGCTTCTGAAATACTTCCCACCCACCTCCTCACAATCTGAGATATGTGGTTATTCATCATGATTGTAGCTACAAAATCTTGATTATGGTAGAAAAGCAGAACTTGTATACATCCTCCTCATGCTGGAACAATAAGGAAGAGGGGAGAATTCTGGGTAAGCTGATGGATTCACTGCAATGTTTTAAAGAAATTTAGAATGTTAAGACATTGTTGTAAAAAGTATGAGGGTAATTCAACAAGGAAAAGCTTTTGGTATTTCAGAAGCAAGTGTCTGTTTGAAATGTATTTCAGTTCTAGAAATGTAAAATGTAATAAATACTTTTACGTCTCTGGTCGTTTGTTAATTTCCCGTATAATTTCTTTCCGATGAAACTTAGTGATACAAGTCCTTTCTTAATTAAAACTAGTTTATTATTTCTCAATACAACTTTATAATACACAGAATTTCCACAGTCACTTTAACTTAAACACACGCTATAATTCACAACAATTTACACTTTTGACTTACGGCTTGACTCGATTATCCATCTCTATATCTCCCTATCTGCAAATTATCTATCAACTGTCACTTTATTTGCCAGCTTATATACGAGAACAGAGCATGCCTAGAAAAGCCTAGAGTTGCGAGGAACAGTCACGATCTTTCTAGAACTCCAGCACATGCTCCAAGCGTCGCGCTACTTCCGCTGTCGAAACATTATTTTGGGTAATGTAATCCAGTCAGTCTGTTGTTTTAAGTCATTGGTTTTATGTGGGGTCATTAAAAACGAATTATACATACAAAGTGGAAATCTATGCTATGCTATCATCTAACTGTAAACCATTCAGAGTCATTATGTACAGTTTTATAAATATACACATATACATATTAACTATTTTAATGTCGATATTAATGCATATAAAACATATATTTCAGTTTCTGGAGGATATTCTGATTGGGAAACATGGGGTGCATGTTCCAGTGAGTGTGGGAAAGGTCAGCAGTTTCGAATGAGAATTTGTGATAATCCACCACCTAACTCTGAGGATATTGGATGCACTGGTCCAACACATGAAGTTAAAGATTGCTTAGATGCAGAATGCTCAGATGAAAGTATGTGCACAGGATTATATTTTACTCATTATAATTATTTAATCATATATATATATTGAATGTTCTTGTTTGAAGGGAATATCCTTTGTTAGTGCAAGTTTATATTAACAGATTAACTTTTGTATTAACATTTTCAATTTCAGAAACTTGCATTAATGTGATATATTTATAATAAGTAATTCCCAAAATTAATGCTTACATCATGTAACATTTTAACTATGTTTTACCCAATTTTAAAAAAATTATATTCTATCATGACATTAAGTTCACAGAATTTATATTTGTTATATTTATCAAATAGTTTATTTGTTAACTGTGACAGTATGCTTGAGAATTTATGCACATTTAAAACTATATCAGTCTACATGTATGCTGAGAAAATGATTGACGCTCTGAAAATTACTTATGTCTTTAACATTAATGTGATTTTCTAACCATTGATATGCAAGTTTCACCTGAGTAAAAGTATTTGGTATATTTTTTCAAACTTTCAAATTCAGGTTAACAAGAACACTGGCATGAATTAATGTTTCAAAAACGTTATTTGAATATATCTGATTAAAGATACATTCTAAACTTGTTATTGATGGGTGAAGTTCATAAGAATTCAGTCAAACATTTGTTATCCTTTTTATTCTCTGAAGATGATAAGAGATCTTAACCTACCCCTATAAGATATTGCTTCAGTCCTAAACACAATCCTAATAGCCCCTCTCTGAACCTATAAAAAGTCCATGTATGTTGACATTTTATTGGAAAAGATTCAGAGAAAGGCTATTAGGATTGTTTATAGACAAGTATTTTATTAGACAAAGAGATCCAAACAGTACACAATATTCTAAGTACAGCAAAGCTATAGTGACTTATAGAAAGAGAGTGAGAGATGATTATTTGTTTAGACTTGAAGTAAATATTTCTATAAATATGCACTAACAATTCTGTTAGTTTTAGTTTTACTAATGCCATCAAAGAACTGCCTTGATGGTTAGAGTGACTTATCCACCACTATGCCAAGAACATTTTTTTTTTCAATCATGCTATTGAGTTTGTTTTTATCTTTATTGAATATGTGATCCAAATTATGATACTCCATTCATTACCTTACACTTATTATACATGAGGGTAATATACCAAATATGTGTCTACTTACCAGTTGATCCATATAATTCTGCAATATCTCAGTATCCTGAATATATATATATAGAAATACTCAAGAACGTAATGCAATCAACAAATTTTACTTATTATTCCCATACACCCATAATTAATGTAAATAACAAAAAGCACAGACCCAAGTACTGATCCCTTATGGTCTGACTAAAAACCACTAAAATCATCCTACAACCCAATCAACTAGCCTTTACCTTAATCGTATTGATGTGATTTTCCTAGCTAATCCTCTGTGTGTCACTTTATCAAAAGCTTTTACAAAATATAAGTACACTAAGTCCATACTCGTTCAATCATCCAGATAACAAGTGGAATCATTGAAGGATGTTTACAGATTAGTAAGGCAAGATTTGCTTTTGGTGAATCCATACTGGCTTTTTTTATGATATTGTATTTCATTAGATGATTTGGCAAAGCTCTTTTTATCAAACTCTCTGGAGTTTTGCCACAATAGAAGACTGTATTATGCAAATACTACATACTCTTCTATGGTGTATATTTTATTTGTACAAAATGACATGTGATTTCCATCATAACCGCAACTACAAAATCTGGATTATGGTAAGAAACCAGAGCTTACATATGTCCACCTGATGTAGGTGTAATAAGCTGCCTGGAATGTGGGGAAACATGGGTAAGTAGATGCATGCTCTGCTTCGTGTTAAGGATAATCAGAACTTCAGTGACATGTTTTTGACAGAAGGAGAATAAGTCAACAAGAAAAAAAAACTTTTTATATATCAGAGGTAAGTACTTATTTGAAATATATTTTAATCCTAAAAATGTAAAAATTACAACAATTATATTTTTAAGGTTCAAATTTGGAATATCCTAAGTTTTCTTGAGGTCATTGCGTTAAGTTCAGCATCAGATGTTTCTTTTTTTTTAGGTCAACCAGTCAAAGAACTTATCTGTTGTTTTATGGGGTAATTCCAATGCATCTTGCTTGACCTTGTTTATGAGAGATACCTTGTGATTGTCACATGGAGAAGAGATATTTTCTGCATACTGGTGCCCATTTTCTAATAACTTAGCTAGAAGGATAATGTATTGTTGCGTCAGCGAGTCACGTGACTGGTGTGGCGCCACCTATTTTCTAGAACTATCCTGTACCTTGGCGAATGCTCTAGTATTTACTAGATATA